TGGGGGCAGCAGGGGGGGGGTAAGCAGAAGGGGCAGGGCGGGGAACAGAAGGAGGGGGCGCAGCACAGGGGGAGGTGACAGGAGGGGTAATAGCTTGGGGAGGTTCCCCCGCGCCGCCGGGGCCGGGGTCGCGGCCAGCCCAGCCCCATGGCCAAGCCGGCCCCCCCTCGCACCCCACGGCTCCCCCCCCGTCCCCCCCCCGGGGATTTACCGGGCAAAGCGTCTGAGCGGGGGGAGCGGGGGGGGGGCACGTGGCCGCACCCGTGGGTGAGGGACACGGGGACATGAGGACACGGGGACATGAGGACACGGAGGGGGACACAGGGGACGTGGGGACAGCGAGGACGTGGGGAGCAGGGGGAGGACCTGGGTACAGGGGGGATGCGAGGGATACAATGAGGCGGAGGACATGGCAGAGCACAGGGAACACAAGAAACAGAGGACACCAGGGGGACACGACTGGAGGAAGAAGAGGTTATGGGGACATCGAGCAGCATAAGGGACCATGGGGGCCATGGGGTCATAGGGAGACACGGGGGACATTGGGGTCACGGGGTTATGGAGGTCACAGGGGACACGAAAGACATGGGGAGACGTGATTGGGGTGAACTCAGGGTTATGGGGACTTGGGGGGCACGAGGATTACGGAAGGATGCTACTGGACGGGACGTAGGTTGGGGACATGCGAGACACGGAGGGGACGTGGTAGGGACACGATTTGGGCTCATAGAGCATTATGGGGACATGCGACTGTGGGGACACACGGGGTACACAGGGATTGAGAGAGACACACAGGAGGGTCCCAGCGTGGCAGGGGCGGGCCCGGGGCCGCACAAAGGGGCCATTGAGCCGCAGTGAGGGAGGGGCGGGGAGAGGAATTTCCACCCAAAACTTTTTCCATGAGGCTATTCCCGCCCCTCCCCCACTCCAGCCCCTTCCCTCCCCTTTCCTGGCCCTGGGGGAAACTGAAGCACGGGGGGAGAGGAGGGGGGAGTTTACACGCGTGTCAGGGCATGGGGACGCGTGCGTGGCTGTGTGACACGCAGGGACACACCCCGCACACGTGTCCCCATGCCCAGACATGCGTGTGCACGCTGGAGGCTGTGTAAAGGTGTGTGACACGTGTAGTGACACATGATCATCCCGTGTAAAGGTGTATGATACGTGCAATGATCCCGTGTACAGGTGTGTTACTCATGCAGAGCCCCAGGAATGCAGTCGGGCAGGCGGTGCTGGCACAGCCCAGGCACACCCAGACACACCTGCGTACACACAGTCGCCTGTGAACACCTGGATATGCTCACACACCTGTGCACAGTAGACACACTCGAGGAAGTGACAAGAAGATTGGAAGGGACTGGGAAGGATTGAGGAGACGACGCAGGCAACTGGGAGAACTGGCAGGACTGGGAGGGATTGAGGGGTGACAAGGGAACTGGGAAGGGCTGGGGAGGTGACAGGGGAACTTGAAAGGAGTGGAAGAACTGGGAGGACTGGGGAGACGGGTGGTGACATGAGGACTGGGAGTGCACGGGGTGGAATTGGGAGGGACTGGGGAGGGCGTGACGCGGGGACTGGGAGGGGCTGGTGGCGACAGGGACGGGGCCTGGGTCCACCTCCCAGGGAAGGGGGACACACACGTCTAATACCGTGTGACACAGGTGACACGTGTGTACGCGACACCGCCCACTGCTCCAATCCCCGCTCATTCCACATTCAGCCCCGCCCACAGTTCCCGCCCCTTGCTCCGACCACGCCTCAATTCAGCCCAGCCCCTCAGACCCCGCCCCTCCAGGCCCCGCCCCCACTCCCGGCCACGTCCCCCCCGCCCTTCCCGTTTTTCTATAGCCCAGCCACGCAAGGCCCCGCCCCTTCCAGGCCCCTCCCTCTCAGCCCCCGCCCTGCTCTCAGTTCAGCCCCGCCCCTCCAAGGCCTGTCCATATCCCCGCCCTCACATTCCAAATTATCCCGCCCCTCCAAGCCCCGCCCCTTTTCTGCCCCTCGCCTCCTCCCACCGAAGCCCCGCCCCTCGTCCAGGCCCCGCCCCATTCCCCGCTCGCCTCACTGCCCCAGCGTAGTCAAGCCCCGCCTCTCACCCAGGCCCCGCCCCCCAGGCCCCGCCCCCGCAGCCGCACCCTCCGGGGCCGCTCGGGGCCCATCGCGACCGGGACCGATCGCGACCGATCCGGCGGGGCCGAGGGGCCCGGGAGGGCACGCGGGGGCGGCCCGGGGCCGCCATGTTCGGCTGCGTGGAGGCGGCGGCGGCGCCGCGGCGGCTGCACGACGTGACGAACCGCGGGGGCTGCGCGCTGCGCAGGGTCCCGGTGCCCGCCGGCTGCGGGGGCCCCGCCCGCAGAGGTGCTGGGGGGAGAGGGGGGTCGGGAGCGTTCGCGAGTGGGTGTGGGGCTGAGGGGGGCGGGAAAGCTTGTCCAGGTGTGGATTCAGTGTACAAATGAGTGTGAAAGCGAGCGCGAGTGTGCCGTGGGTGCGTGGGGGGTGGTCGTGTCGCGAGTGCCGGGAAGCCCTTCTGCGTGTTCGGATGAGCGTGCAAGTGAGTGTGCAAATGAGCGTGAGCGTGCGGGGGTGACTGCGCGGGAGGGGCGGGCGCGAGTCTGAGAGAGGGTGTGGAAGGTTCGGGGTCGTGGGGAGGGGTCGGGGCCGTGGGAAGGGGTCTCCGAGAGCGCACCCGAGTGTGCAAACGAGTGTGAGAAGGAGCGCCAGTGTGCGGGCGTGGGGGCGGCACCGTGCCCGCGAGGGTGCGTGGGTGTGCCAGGGGCTGGGGTGCAGAGCGTGTCCGAGTGTGTGAACCCACCTGAAAGGGGACCGGGGTGACCCGGGGGGCCGAGGGTGACCTGGCGGGGGTGACGAGGGGGGTGGGGAGTGACGCGCGTGGGTGCTGGACCGACCAGGGCGTGTGCCGGAATGACGCGTGTGCGCGTGGGGGGCAGGTGTGCAAGGGGGGGGACATCCCCAAATTCTCCCCAGGAGAGACCCGAGATGTGGGCGCTCGGTTTTGGGGGAGGCAGGATCCCAGACCCGTTTTGCAGCGGACACAGGGGCGTGGGGACCGCAATGGGGGAAGCTCCTTTGGGGGGATCGAGAGACCGAGATCCTGTTTTTATGGGAAGTCGCGATATCCCGAATCCCTTTGGAGGGCCAGAAATAGGGGCCCGTTTTTTGGGGGTCAGGAACACAGTGACATGGACCACACAGGACCCCCTTTGGGGGTATCGAGGGCCCTGGACCCTGTTTTGGGAGCGCTCAGGGTCCCCGGGCCCCGACCCTTGTTTTTTTGGGGAGTCTCTTTGTGGGGGTGGAAGGAGGCACCCGGTTTTGGGAGGAGGCCCACGGGGG